CCAAAAACAAGATTTTCTGAAATTTGATGCGAACTCGATACATCGAGGCCAAATTCGAACATGTTGCTTTATTTGCCGACAACTTTTGACAACGATTTCGATGACATGTACAAGTCAAGTGTCTAACACCAAAGTATGATCAACAGCGGGACAAAACTTAACAAAATATGGCCCTTCAAAAATTGACAAAAAATCATAATTTGCTATATTTCGTGCGAACTTAATAATTCGATGCCGAATACGAATATGATCCGCATTATGCCGACAACTTTTAACAGTAATTTTGAATAGTACCAATAGTGAAAAGTATTATATATAAAAGTTGAAGGGAACAAAGCGGGACTTTATGATTTATGGGGCTTCAAATACAGGCCAAAAACAAGATTTTCCGAAATTTGATGCGAACTCGATATATCGAGGCCAAATTCGAACATGTTGCTTCATTTGCCGACAACTTTTGACAACGATTTCGATGACATGTACAAGTCAAGTGTCTAACACCAAAGTATGATCAACAGCGGAACAAAACGTAACAAAATATGGCCCTTCAAAAATTGACAAAAAATCATAATTTGCTATATTTCGTGCAAACTTACTAATTCGATGCCGAATACGAATATGATCTGCAATATGCCGACATCTTTTAACAGTAATTTTGAATAGTACCAATAGTGAAAAGTATTATATATAAAAGTTTAAGGGAACAAAGCGGTACTTTATGATTTATGGGGCTTCAAATACAGACCAAAAACAAGATTTTCTGAAATTTGATGCGTACTCGATATATCGAGGCCGAATTCGAATATGTTGCTTTATATGCCTACAACTTTTGACAACGATTTCGACGACATGTACAAGTCAAGTGTCCAACACCAAAGTATGATCATCAGCAGAACTAAACTTAACAAAATATGGGCCTTCAAAAATTGACGAAAAATCAGATTTTGCTGTATTTTGTGCGAATTCAATGATTCGATGCCGAATTCGAATATGTTATTTTATTTTCCGACAACTTTTGACAAGATTTCGTTTACACGTATAACCTAAGTATCTAACAACAAAGTATGATCACCAGCGGAATGAAAATTGAAAAAATAATGCCTTTCAAAATTGATGAAAATCAGATTTTGTCATATTTATTGCGATATCAACTATTCGACCCCGAATTCGAATATGTTATTTTATTTTCCGACAATTTTTGACTATGATTTCCGTTTATATGTATACCTCAAGTCTCCAACAACAAAGTATGATGACCAGCGGAATTAAAATTGAATAATTATGGGCCTTCAAAAATTGATAAAAATCTGATTTTGTCATATTTGGTGCGATAACGATTATTCGACCCCGAATTCGAATATGTCATTCTCTGTACCGACAACTTTTGACAACGATTTCGTAGACATGTATAACTAAAGTGTTCACCAACAAAGTATGATCACCAGCGGAATGAAAATTAAAAAAATACGGGACTTCAAAAATGGGTAAAAATCGGATTTTGCCATATTTGGTGCGATATCAATTATTCGACGCCAACTTCAAATATGTTATTCTATTTTCCGACAACTTTTGACAACGATTTCGTAAACATGTATAACTAAAGTGTCCACCAACAAAGTATGATCACCAGCGGAATAAAAATCAAAAAAATATGGGCCTTCAAAAGTTGTTTGAAAATCAAATTTTGTCATATTTGGTGTGATGTCGATTCTTCGACGCCAAATCCGAATAGGTCATTCTATTTTCCGAAAACTTTTGACAATGATTTCGTTTACATGTATGACTCAAGTGGTCAACACCAGAGTGTGATCACCAGCGAAAAAATTTTTAAATTTACATGACAAACGTATAGCATGTATATATAATTCTAGAGTGTTAACGGATTAAGCCGTTATTTCAAAATATCACCGAAGCAGAATCTGAATTATTTAAATATGAATGAGTAACTTCTTTGTATATATTTTTTTTAAATTATATTAGAATATTAGGTAGAAAGAAAGAACATTTGTAGTTGTCAAGCGGATTTTAAAAGCATACTATGTCGCTATTTGTTCTGCTAATTCTGTTCCGCATTTGTATTAGAAGGTTCATGACGAGTAAAACAACATAAAAATTCAAAGTCGCTGTATGAATCGAATCATTGAGTTCGAACGAAATACAGCAAAATCTGATTTTTCATCAATTTTTGAAGGGCCATATTTTGTTAAGTTTTGTTCCGCTGTTGATCATACTTTGGTGTTAGACACTTGACTTGTACATGTCATCGGAATCGTTGTCAAAAGTTGTCGGCAAATAAAGCAACATGTTCGAATTTGGCCTCGATGTATCGAGTTCGCATCAAATTTTGGAAAATCTTGTTTTTGACCTGTATTTGAAGCCCCATAAATCATAAAGTCCCGCTTTGTTCCCTTCAACTTTTATATATAATACTTTTCACTATTGGTACTATTCAAAATTACTGTTAGAAGTTGTAGGCACTTTGCGGATCATATTCGAATTCGGCATCGATATGTCGAGTACGCATCAAATTTCAGAAAATCTTGTTTTTGGCCTGTATTTGAAGCCCCAATAATCATAAAGTCCCGCTTTGTTCCCTTCAACTTTTATATATAATACTTGTCACTATTGGTACTATTCAAAATTACTGTTAAAAGTTGTCGGCACTTTGCGGATCATATTCGAATTCGGCATCGAATCATTGAGTTCGTACGAAATATAGCAAAATCTAATTTTTTGTCAATTTTTGAAAGGCCATATTTTGTTAAGTTTTGTTCCGCTGTTAATCATACTTTGGTGTTGGACACTTGACTTATACATGTGATAGAAATCGTTGTCAAAAGTTGTCGGCATATAAAGCAACATATTCGAATTCGGCCTCGATATATCGAGTACGCATCAAATTTCAGAAAATGTTGTTTTTGGCCTGTATTTGGAGCCCCATAAATTATAAAGTCCCGCTTTATTCCCTCAACTTTTATATATAATACTTTTCACTATTGGTACTATTCAAAATTACTGTTAAAATTTGTCGGCACTTTGCGGATCATATTCGAATTCGGCATCGAATCATTGAGGTCGCTCGAAATACAGCAAAATCTAATTTTTTGTCAATTTTTGAAGGGCCATATTTTGTTAAGTTTTGTTCAGCTGTTGATCATACTTTGGTGTTAGACACTTGACTTGTACATGTCATCGAAATCGTTGTCAAAAGTTGTCGGCAAATAAAGCAACATGTTCGAATTTGGCCTCGATGTATCGAGTTCGCATCAAATTTCAGAAAATCTTGTTTTTGGCCTGTATTTGAAGCCCCATAAATCATAAAGTCCCGCTTTGTTCCCTTCAACTTTTATATATAATACTTTTCACTATTTTTACTATTCAAAATTACTGTTAGAAGTTGTCGGCACTTTGCGGATCATATTCGAATTCGGCATCGATATGTCGAGTGCTCATCAAATTTCAGAAAATCTTGTTTTTGGCCTGTATTTGAAGTCCCAATAATCATAAAGTCCCGCTTTGTTCCCTTCAACTTTTATATATAATACTTGTCACTATTGGTACTATTCAAAATTACTGGTAAAAGTTGTCGGCACTTTGCGGATCATATCCGAATTCGGCATCGAATCATTGAGTTCGTACGAAATATAGCAAAATCTGATTTTTTGTCAATTTTTGAAGGGCCATATTTTGTTAAGTTTTGTTCCGCTGTTAATCATACTTTAGTGTTAGACACTTGACTTGTACATGTGATCGAAATCGTTGTCAAAAGTTGTCGGCATATAAAGCAACATATTCGAATTCGGCCTCGATATACCGAATACGCATCAAATTTCAGAAAATCTTGTTTTTCGCCTGTATTTGAAACCCCATAAATCATAAAGTCCCGCTTTGTTCCCTTCAACTTTTATATATAATACTTATCACTATTGGTACTATTTAAAATTACTGTTAAAAGTTGGCGGAAATCTGCGGATCATATTCGCATTTGGTCTCGAACCCTAGAGTTTGCATGTAACATTGAAAAAAATATTTTCCGATATTTTTGTGTTTCCATCAAATGTAGCCTATTTTTATTTTGTATTTTTTTTCATTCTGCAAATATATTCTAATACGTTTTAGTTTTTCTGTTTTATGTGATATACAGTTATGTATGTTGTAATTACCACTACCAGCTAAATTTGCTTAAACTTATATTTTGGTCTGAGTTGTTTCCTTCGGAACATATTATTTCAAATAGGATCCATTTATCTCTTATAAATATTGTAATAGGAGATTATTTTGCGCATGGGAACCGGTTGAAAACTGCAAAATATTTTTCCGCTGAAATTCCGCTGGATTCACAGTGGTAAAAAATTGTTATGCTACGCCCACTAGAAGTACGTTAGGTACTAAACTACATGAGACCCGGGGTAACTTTGGTGCAGAATTGTATTAGCAAGGAAGTTAGCCGAAAATCTGTCATTGCCCAGTTGTGCGGAGTGTTAGTTAATTAAATTAGTACCGTAAGGCTAGTTGGGGTTTACCAAAGTGACTACCGGTACCGGTACGGTATAGTCTATAACCACTTTGGGGTTTACCAGAGTATCAGATTTAGCCTACAGAAATGCGATGGCGAGCGTCATATTCCTAATGCAGTAACGCTTAACACGATGCGCCACACCGTCATGCCGCAGTCTAGCAGTGCCAGCTGTATTTAAGTAACGACGGAACAGTATATTGTTTATTTTGATTCCATAATTGCATAATAGTACGTCGGTAACGTAAGAAAAAATAGTTGATAAGAGCAAATAAATAAAACTGATTACAGAATTAGGAGATGATGATTGAACCATCGTATTGGCTTTTCTCTTCTTTCTGCCCCAGAAATAAATACAGAAATATGCCTGTCTATGTGTATGCAGGTATGTGAATCCTGTCGTATCCATATCCGACATTGACTGGTGCCTGAACAGAGGCCATGGTGTGCCATATTATTAAGCTGTCTTATCGATATTCCTCTCCCCCAGGAAAAATATCTAAATCTTATCCATTTTAGTATTTACATAGTGTTGGATCGCTAGTATATAAAAATGAATATTCGCAATGCCACACCTGCTGATCTGATGAATATGCAGCACTGCAACTTGCTATGCTTACCTGAAAATTATCAAATGAAATACTACTTTTATCATGGCCTCACATGGCCACAGCTCTCATTTGTAGCAGAGGACGCGAAGAAAAAAGTGGTTGGATATGTTCTAGCTAAAATGGAGGAAGATCCTGATGAAGACCCACATGGACATATCACATCACTAGCTGTTAAACGTTCTCATCGGAGATTGGGTCTTGCCAGGAAACTGATGGATCATGCATCTCGTGCCATGGTTGAATGTTTCAAGGTACATCGGATATTATGTCAGATAGGAATATTTATATTAAAAGCCTCTATGTTACATAAAAAGGGTAATTTAGAATATGAAAGATAAAAAAATGCTACCGGGGCAATCTCACATTGTAAAAAAAATTGAAATTGATGCAGTATTTACTGATCGGGCTTGGGGCATCGGGGAGTATCTCATTTTTTTCTTTTACTCTATATATGTGTAATACCACAAACAATGCACAAGTTTATAGGCAATACACAATCACCACCCTCGATCATTGAAGCAAAATGAATAATAATGAAATGTCAACTCTGCTAGGTCATAATGATTGTTTACGGGTTCAGAATGAAATCAAAAGAAACTCACATGGCCTCAACTTTTTAAAGTTGTAGCATTGCATAACAGAATTCTTATGCCCTTTTCTTTCAACTAATGAGCTCAGAAGATTTACTGCCATCTTTCATTTAAAACTGAATTGTCTGGCTCCCTATTATTCAGAAAATTTTCCCCTAATTATTTGATAGTTTCAGGGACATTGGGTTGCTTGCAATTATAGTCTATTTAAATGAAATATTAAGAACTTTCCGGAATTCACAGGCAATTGATCAAAATCATCAGGTTAATTTGCAATATTGTGGCTGTAACTGAATTATGTCTATGTCATACTGTCATTTTTCAGGCAAAATATGTATCACTTCATGTTCGTGTGAGTAATCGAGCAGCATTAGCACTTTACATGGATACTTTGAAGTTTGAAAAGAGTGAAGTAGAAACGAAGTATTATGCCGATGGTGAAGATGCGTATGCAATGAAAAAAGAGTTGACACATTTCATTGATGGATTTCCAAGGCCCCAAAAACTCAAATTAGCGTTTAGAGAAAGGGGTGCAGGAGATATTTCTAATATGGTAACTGTTATGAGTCCAACAAGCGATAATGTCGAAGAAGCAGAAAATTTTGGAAATAGGTGTCAGTATGCAGAGGATGACCTTTCTGCAATTTTGCAACAAACATTATGAAATATTGTCAACATTAACGTTAGGACAGATTTATTGCCAACGGTCAACCCTAGTTCAAAACAATGTTTGGAATGCTGGAATTCTGAATTGTCATATGCTTCCAACAAGATAGGTGCACCGTTTTGAAGTATGAGATCTCCCAGTAGAAAAATAGAAACTAATCCTTGATTTGAAAAATTTTGAGTATTATTTAAAACTAATATATTGGATAACAGTTCTGCAAATTTAAGGTTGTTGATTAATTGGAAATAATAATGAAACATGTTTGGTCCCGAGTCCCGACCAACAATGCTTTGGTACCTAATCATGTATTGATATTTACCTTGGTAGTAATATGGTCTACTACTTTGGGTTATTGCAGAGACAAACTGGTAAATTGAAGATAGTTCTCATGTGGTATTTCATTGAATTTGAGTAAGAAGGCTTATCTAAGTGTGTCAATTCAAACGTCTTCTGGCAATCGAGTTGGTGTCAAACCATTTCATTTATATTACTAGATCCAAGTCTCCTGAGCCCTACTGATTAATTGAATTATGAAGTCTGTTGGAGGTAGACTAGTGAAATTTGTCAATTCTGATAGCGTGAGCCAACATTTTGAAAATCAAAACCAGGACTTTAAAACATTGATATTTACCTTGGCAGCAATATCCCGTATTGTCTATTTTGAGTACCGTATATGCTCGTTGTACCGCCCGATCTTGATTAAGGGCCCGTTTGAATAGCCGCCCGTGTGAACAGAACATAAAAATAAATAAGGGCCGCTGCTTGAATATCCGCCCAATGTAAAAGCTGATTTTTCAGTGGTAGAGAACAATTGGAAACAAGCGCTTTTGTCACAACGCTGTTGAATTTTAAGCGCTGGTAGATAACACTCACGCCTTGGGCAGCCAATTACATAACAGATAGCATTGATTATGTAATCCCGTGGTTCTGAAACTGGCATCATTTCAACGTGCGTTTGACGTGAATCAATTGACATGAAAAAAGGATTAAAGTCGTCAAATATTTGTCTTCAAAGATACCGTAATTTTTGTGTATAATTTTACTTTAAAAATAACAAGCGCCCGTGCTTGAATTAGGGCCGGTTTGAATAAAGGCCTGGTTAGTGGGTTTGGTTAAAAAAAATATGGGCCCGGGATACAAAACGAGCAAATACGGTATCTCAAATAGTTTTTCTGCGGGTCAAATCGTTTCGATGACTAGAGTAGAGTCTATGAAAAGGTTAATCCCTCATCTGCAGAACTGGGTATGTAATTGACTACACTTTGTAAATTGAGATTTATATGCCAGTGATAATAAATTCTTATCCAGTATCAGCCTTGGTGTTTGGTATTCAAGTTTGTCTGCTATATCCATTTTATAAATTGTTTCCACCTTTTTACGAAATTTTACTTTTAAGTCTGTTATTTGCATGTTCTGGGTGGGAATTTGAAATTCTTCACGACAATATATATTCAAAAAGCTGAGTGTTAAGCTGGGAATGTCGGAGACAGGTGCATTGTGCTATGCTGCAGTATGGTTGGTGGACCTGTAGAAAACCTGGGCCCTCAAACTAAATACCTATCCATCTAACCAACTATTCCCTAGTATAATAACAAAGGAACAGCAGTTACAGCACTGATGCAAAAATGGTCCAAAACAAACAATGTTTTCTTAGATGTGTATTAGAAATAGGACTTGGCTCACTTTGGGCCACTGATGACTGCATTTTGTGAGAGAAACAACGAACTGAAAATATGTTTAGTAAAATATAGATTATCTATATATTTAAGACACGCACATATAAAAAGGAAATTAAAAAATAAGTACAAATTTTAAATAAGGTTAGGATTGTCATTCAGCATTCAATAAAAATGAAGTTCAAAATCGTATGAATGTACTGCAACATAAAATCAAAAGAAGTTCAAAATGGTTCGTACTACAGATGATTACGGTATATTACTTAAAATCAAGTCAAGTTCATTTAGAACAAGAGTGAAATAGATAAGAATGGTTGAAATGCAATCTTTCCTCAAACCCACATTTATTTAGAGTTTAAGATTGTTTAATATAACAATAATCGACATGCTAACACTGTCATGGGCAAACTTCGGCCTGTTGGGTTATTCAATATTCAGACTAAAACCAAATTTTGAAATAGATGAAGGAATTTGTTGAGATTGCGATAAAATTTAGTTTTGGCTATAAAGGCTTGCTATTTTCCATTTTTGTAACACTAATTATCATTCATAAAATGTAACTTTTAGTTCACACTTACACAGCCAGATGGGCAGGATTTTCGGCCCCAGGTCCCAAAACCTTGCCCGCCCGTGTTCAAATAATTACGGTAATAGCTTGCGCAAAATGATATGTCAAGTCTCTGGCAGTTTGTTATGTTTCAGTAAAAGGTACAGTTGATTCAAGTTTCCCCAACTCTAATGGAACTCCATCACTCATCTATATATCAAGACATATGCATTTAGCCTACACCAGTTTTCAAAGTACTATAGAACTTCTTATTGAACTAAAATATTTTAAAGCAAATTAACATAAGTGCAGTAGTGATAAAAACGCGCTGCTGATTGTAGCAGTCCTGCAAAAGGATAATATTTAGGACATATCACAGACAGTTCCTATTTGTGGATTAATAGCACATAGGATGACAGTATTGGTTCAAGGTAGGTACAGAATTAATGTGATACCTAATTCTTTTATATAAATATTTTAAAAGCAGCAAATATGCAATAATTAACAAAAAAGCATTGCAAATGGCAAAACTGCAACATTATGGTCATGTGAAAAGGAACGGTAGTTGTGACTGTTATGTGTTTACTAACTGCATAGAAAACTAGAAAATAGGATTGAAAACTTGCAACAACAAAAAATATGAAAAACATCGTGTCATAAACAAACTTATAAAAACCATCAACATACACATTCTAAATTTCTACATATTCTCAAATTTTTGATACGTTGGAGTCTGTTTCCTCGTAAAGAAAATCGACTCCATGCTAGTAACTGTAGACAAGCGCAAACAATCGGAACTATTACTAGTATACTGAAACATGCATCACGATATAATGATGATCCCGAAATGTCTACACCAGCAGATTTCTTCACTCCTATAGCCATAGCATCAATGGAATCCGAGTGGAAAATGTCTTTCCCTGTTGAATATTGGGATTCGTTTACTAAGAAAATGGATGTTTTTTTAACCTTTGGCCCCCCAAAAAAATTTCCTCAATTTTACCACATGCCACTGATAGCTGATTTTAAAGTAATTTTTGTTCAGTGCAACTAAACCAAAATGACCATTGAGTTACACCTAAATTCCGGAAACAACAATGTGACAAATATCGAGCAAAACTATGAAAATGAGCTAATGTTTATCAGCATGCAGAAACATTGCTGAGTGGCTGCCGTAAATTTACTTCTTTTGGATTAGCCAATATTACAGAAGTGGATTTGATGTTCGAGCCATCGTCTATACCCCAAGTTTTCTTCCGGAAGCCTAATAGTGGGCCGAGAAGAGAAAAATTTAGTTTAGATAACTACATACCTGTGTAAGTCGAAAGGAGCAGTGTGCCGAACAAAGGTGCCAATGTTTGGCCAGGTTTTGATAGTAATGAAGACATTCCAAACAATAGAGCAGAAGCAGGATGAGGTCTATCATGAAGAACATAATCTTCATCAACCAAATCGGAGACGACAAGATTCAGAAGTTTGCATGTTCCTTCCGTGAAAATGCGATTGCTAAATAAAACAAATGTCAGAGCATTAGATGAAGTCAGACATTTATTTACTTTTCAGATCTATTATATTTAGGCTTCCTTACTACAGGCATAATAAAGACTGGGCAGGCCAAGGCAAAAGTAGTTGCATGGGCATTTGAATGAAAAGATAACTGTTGCTTGAAAAACACCACCCTGGTATTGCCTGTGGAGTCGGAGAAAATTTGCTCCTGACTAAATAATGATATTCGCTTCGACTTCAAGTTGAAATAAATTTTGATTATGTTTTCATCACTGAAAATCCACATTTAGGAAATTCACAATTTTGAGAATGTCCCTCGATCTTGACTCCAATGAGTATGAAAACACGACTGCGACTCTAGTGCTAAACTTCTACACCACAGCCTCGATGTGCATAGTTCAAGCATTTAATTATCTCATATGCAGCTTTTGACGACAGTTAACATAGAAAACCTACAGCCATACCTTGCTATAAAAATACATGTCGCCCAGATATGGTTTGGTCCTAGAATTGCCATCCCAACAGCAAGTAAAAGTTTGATCCAAAATAATAGCGTGACGACATTATAAACTCCAAATTTCTCACACAAGTGGAGAAAATATATATTATTAATATGTGGTGCAACAAAAGACATTCCTGAGAAAACAAAAACACAAGCTGATGTAAGATTAGTCATGTAAGATTCAATATGAATGTAGGATCAAAATATTGTTTGTTCACCGACTCTACTGTTGTTTGCCATTGGAGAATTTGGAAAAGTTGGTCACCATTCACCAGGATAATGCAGATAGAGGCATGAAACTATATGCTAAATGTTAGATGCCAAAAGTTTTTTCTTATTGAAGATGAGGGGGCCGATCATGAAGGTTAATAACAATTGGTGTAGCCTATAATATTAGTTGTTATGTATTAGTTGTATAGTATTTTACTGAAAAATACATAAATCAGGAGTACACTTCAAAAGTAAAAACACCTGGCCATTTAACATGCTGTAATTCTTATCATTGTGGAAGACCGAATAAATGATTTCAATAATTCAAAATCAATACCTAGTATTAGTATTTAATTAAGTACAACATAAAATATACTAATTACATTTAGTAGGGATTTTAGAACACCAGAAAACTCGAACGACTTACCAATAAGAAGAGTACAAATACTGTTAGGAACTGTATCACCAACCAATGTGTCCATAAACAACGGAAAGAAATTACTGTTGAAATGACAGTGAAACACCTTGAACAGTGAAAAAAAAGTTGAAATCACCACAAAATGAATCTGTAATATCCTTATCCAAGTTTAAAATATTCCTCATACCTGTAATAAATTCATAGCAATAAACCATCTAAAGTTTCTGTTGTTGTATAATTGTTTGATGTACTTCATTGCACTAATTTTCGGTTCAGTGTTTTTCATCTGTGTGTCTGAAATCATTGAAAATGTTAATATTATTTGATCATGAGTATATAAATCATTCAATCGTTTTTTTTTTTTTATCAAATAGCATACACTATCTTGAAAAACTCAGATGTGTATTCAATATGGTGACAAAGATTGCATAGCTCCATAGATAGATATTAAGAAATTTCAATTAAATGAGGTAGCCTATGCACTAAATACTTTATCTTTCATAATCATCGCAATACTAAGATTGAGTTTCAAATCGAAACTTCTATTCTTACCCTGAACAATTGATTGCAAGTCTTTTTCGGTAAAATCTGCAGTTTCTGGTAATGATTTTGACAATATTTTGGAAGAAATAAAAAATCCAGAAGCAGAAAAACATGCAACAGCAACACAAAATATCTGCAATAAAATGAAGTGGTTTCTAATTTTAAATGTATCAAGAAATTAATTTAGCAAACTTGAATAAAAAATGTTAGCATTTCCATAAAAATATAATAAATCATTTGCGCTGAAAATACCAAGGTGAGTGAAATGTAATTGAAAAATTATTTTCAATTTATACTATATACTTTAATCCACTTAATGATACTAAAATCTGATTTTTCAAACACGATTTGAAACTTTTTTGTTTGATTTAAACTATTCTTTTCCCGACTTCAGAAATATATTTCAAATGTGAGAAATATCATTAATAGTAAATTTACCTGGAATGGTAAGGTGCTATGTTGGCTCCAAACTGCATAAGAAGCAAAGACACTGAACGAACCAAGTGCACTGAATATTGAACAATATCTATTCAAAGTGTTTCTGTTGAGATAAAATGATACACGATAGAATCATTAATAACATTCATTCACATAGAAACCTTTTACGACAACATTTATAACAAAAGAGAATGATCATTACAGTTTTCTGTCAAGCTAAACTCACAAATATTTGATTCATATTATATTTTGTGGAAAGAAGCAAACAAATTTTCATTCGATTTGGATGTCAATCTACTCATACTAATATGATAAATGATATATTTTTACTGCTGACTTGCTTTTTGAAATTGCCTGGATTGGAAGGTATGGGACAGGGAATGACACATACAACAAATTGCCATCACTGTTTGTCTAGCGGAAAAGTTAATTACTGAACAATGCTATTAATCTAATAACAACAAGAAAACATACTACCAATGTTTACAAAGTGGGATATTATTATTTGCCATTGCTTCACTAATGATGGTGGCAAATAAACAAGCCATTATATTATCTCAGCTAACTTTAGAAGAAAATATGTATATGTATTTTATTAAAAATATAATGTTACCTTTCATTAGTTTGTACAGCTAAGTCCGCTAGAAGTGCAGTGTGTTGAAGATCAACGGCAGTTAAAAAAGCATCATACAGACACAAACATACAACAAATTGTAGAAAAGTGGGAAGCCAATGTACCCAGAATAATAGAAATGAAAAAGCAAATAATGGACCATATAGACGTAGAGAATTCACTCTTTTATTGATGATTTTTAGCTGATCATTTACTCCATCTATTGCCCTGTTATGGATAAAGTACGAATTAATTAAAACTGAGAAAATGATGGTTGCTACCTATAAGTATCGAGTCAACATGGACAACACTCAGACAAAAGTGATTCCATTCCAAAATAAATAGATACATAAAAATGAATTATGCTAAATGATTATGATATTAGTTCATACCTAAAGATTTATCAGACAAACGAAATTTAATAAAATTTGTTATGTCTTATTAATATATATACGGTAGTTGAATTTGATGAGTGTTGCGAACTATGTGGACACTTCAACTTAGCTTCAGGAACTTTTATTCATTGCAATGCTCCCAAGCTTAAAGCCTGATCACAGGTATATCAATGTTTTTACATATATTTGTGCAACATCACGAGCTCAAAGTTTGATTAGCGGGTAATTCATTGCGTTTCATTGCTTATATTCTATGTTATAAAATGAAATTCTAATGTAATAATTTTATGTCTCATTAAACCTTTTCGGAACTTCTGTCCTATGTGTTTATATCGTATCTTGTGTAATATGGCAGAGAACAAATAACTGCTAGGAAAATTACCTTTTATCCTTTTGGATTAAATGTTTGTCACTCAACCATCCAAATAATGGATCATTTATAGAATTCCAGACCAAAAATGTAACCTGAAAAAGAGTTTATATTACTGTTAAAAAATTTTCATGTTGTATCAGATATTATGTGTTTTTAAATATTATTTACCTAGTATATATGTCATTATGTCTCCATTCAGTTATTTGTAAAAATAAATATCTCATCTATCAAGTGTTTTTATTTTTTATATAAATGATTATTTACAATTAGACTGTTTTTTTTCAGCATTTTTGTCAGCAAGGAGATAATATATTTTAAAATTATTGAAACACTTACCTCACCAACCCAGAATGACAACTTATCAATCTTGTAAACGTTAACAAACATATCAACATAATAGAGAAGAAAGACATTGTGAGTCAGAGATAGAAACAATGCCATGCTTCCATAGCATCTTGCTATAACGTGGAAAGATTTCTGCATCTTCTTGCTTTACTGTGAGGTAAAGTGAAATTTCGTCAAGATGGTGGGATTTCTCAGACCTGTATATAGTAGTGGGTGCTGAGGTCAGGCAAAAGGCTTTGGCAGTTTAAATTCTTCAGGCCTTCACAATCTGACGATGCTACCCTGTCACATAACATTGTGATGAACAGGCATGACGGATTAACAATGGATCAACAGTGAAAACAACAACCCCAGCTGTATTCTTCACCCACTACAGTCTCTCTCCGCCAGGCTAAGGGCAAGACCAATCTACTGAATAGAAGACGAGTAATACGAGTTTAGAATATAAATTCGAATGTCATATGAAAGTGTTTTCTTTAAATTGTGAAAAGAATTTTAATCAGTTCTTCGATGTAAAAAATCTTGTTATAAAAGTGTGAGATCAGTATAATATCATTTATTCATTAAATATTATTTGAAACTTTCATGTAATTGCCCTAATTTAAAGAAAAAAAAAACAATCAGTAATTGTAGGACGTATAATGCACTATTTAATTATGAGCAGCGTAGTAATATGAAAGACGGTAAAAAATGCTTGAGCCAAACGTCATAGACACTATGACGAATGAAATGTCATTTCGTGTTGGAAATCCCCTCGCACACTCGCACGTACGATTGTATTTTTATGACGGAATTTCAAAAATGAATAAATGCTTATGTAGGTTAGATAAAAAACAACATTACGGTATATTAGGATAATAATCCCGATTAAGCATTGTTAAGTTCCAATCAAATGAAAATAACGCCAGCGACAAAGCCTAAATGAGCACATATTCAACACCGAATGCAGGCAGCTACGTCACGAGATCAAAATATATTAAAATAACATTATGCCACTTGATAAAAAACTTTCTATCTTTCAAAAAATCCTAATTAGTAACTATATTAATATTATGATTCATTCATTAAGGCCAGAAGCTTTTCAGGTCCCAAAAGTCGTGCACCACTTAAAACGAACTGTTAGTTTCTGTTAGTTCATTTATTATTTTACTATCAGTTGTATATTTTTATTACACACAAAATCGTTTGCCCATTTTCACCGCAATTTTGCTCACAATTTAGAATTTTAAAATAATTTGCAGTTTATTTTAAAAATTCATTCTTTATAAACTGAATGACTTATTATTTTTCATTGGCCAATTAATTTTAGTAAACGATTTATTGCAAAAATAGCACTTAGTAAGACATGCTTGTTTTGTGAACGCTGCGGTCTGACTTTCGATTATTTGTTCTCAACATTTACCATTGCAGTTTAAAATTGATTTCTTGCTTGTTGTGATAGTGCAGTAGTGCTGAAATGGGTAAACCAAAGAAAGGAATTGCAGACAAAGTTAGAAAGGCAAAACAGGCCAAAAAGAAGAATGTATTCAAGGTTCACAGCAATCCTTTTGAAGTTAAAATCAATAAACAAAAACACAATATCATGGGGAGAAAGACAAAACATGACAGAGGTTTGCCTGGTGTTTCAAGATCCAAGGCCAATAAAAAAGTAAGTGGTGTTTTAATGTTTATTTCACTTTTTTGCATGGTGACATAAATTTCTTTCTGAAAAGAATAATTGACTTTTTTTAAGTATTTATCTTTTTTGTTTTAGTGGTTTCCTGTAATTTTCAGTTGCAGAATTGGTACACACACTTTCCTGCTTTCAGACTCTTGTCATCTGCGAATTTAAACATTTTTAGATTTTCAAATGCATTGCTTCCTTCGCTAATCATTAGCTAGATATTGATTTAAATATCATGCTATTTGGTAATTTGTGTGAAAATCACTGATCTATTTGTTTTCATTTCACAGAGAAAAGATACTTTGTTAAAAGAATACAAAGATCGATTTAAAACCAACAATTTGATGGATGAAAGATTTGGTGAAGGTAGAACTGATTTATCAGTTGAAGATAAAATGCTCGAAAGATTTGCAATGGAAAAGAAACGAAAACATGACAAGATGTCACTCTTCAAGTATATTTGACATTTTTTTTCAATTATTATCAAAATCTCCTTATTTTACTAAAAAAGATTGAAAATGGTTATTTTAAACTTTAAAGTTGAACTATATATTGTAATGACTTTCATGCAACAAGACCATTATTTACCCTTCTAAATATACAAATTCAACTTGAAACTTCCGTGAATATTACAAATTAAATTTGAAAAAAATAATTTATAAGCTGAAAAGGATAGCTTTGATTATTTGTGTGAAGTATTGGAAAAGCTTCTTGTACTCTCGTAGCATGTTCATGCTGTAGATGAAATCATGGTCTTTATAAGTGATCATCTTTTTGATTTGAATTTCACAATTAAAAATTGGGTATTTTGACTTTCCTGTAATAGTAATTTTCAAATAGTTTTGAATTTTTGTTTTATTCATTCACATGGCCTTTTGATGATCACTGTCTTAGAACTTGTCGAATTTTTGTTTTTAGTCTGAATGACGATGAAGAGGAACTAACACATTTTGGGCAATCACTTGCGGAGATAAAAGATTTTGGAAGTCATGGTCAGAGTGATGATGAAGATAACGGTGTTATATCTGGTTAGATCTATTAAGTTTGATCAAAATAAAAAGAATGGGAAATTTGACTTGAAAGGATAGCAATGAATAATGATAGGGGGAAATTTATGGCGGTACTAATGAATCTAGCCTAGTTTTCCCAATCTTTAATTAAAATCCAGATGTTCTTAAACGGTGGGCCGCACCCCATAAGGGGAGCGTAGAAAAAATTTTGAAGGGGCGCGAAGCTAATTAAGAATAAAACTATTTGTTGTATTTGATCTTGCCCGCCTTATCTCGAATTTTTATGTTCCATCCACGTATTTTCAACAACTTTTTCAAATACAACAAAACATACTTTCGCCCTACTATATGTTATTTGTAGCTTATTGTTAGCTAGTTATCTTTGAGGTGGGGCGCGAGACTTGACAAATTCTAAAAAGGTGGTAAGTTTGAGAGCCACTGCTATAACTTGAATGCTGCTTTCCTACTTTCTAGTAACATCAATTGTTGCAGAAATGGATTGTAATTTATAATTGGTTATTTGAGAGATTTTTGATATTTAATATTTTATGGCTAATTTGCTCGTTAATCAGTGCTATATTTTTATCACCTGTTGATTATAACCAGACCAACGCACCCTTGAAAAGCCCATTGATATAAAATAAATATTGATTTGTTATTAATAATTTTTCGTACATTATTAGGCTCTGAAATTTGAATGATTAATTGTGTTTTTGTGGTCAGGTGAATATGTGTCTGAAGCTCATTTTGGAGGTGGAATATTCAGAAAAAAATCATCCAATGAAGAAAACGACGATGAAGATGAATCTATGAAACCCAAATCAAGAAAAGAAATCATTGATGAAATAATTCTTAAATCTAAAAAGGCAAAAGTAAGAAAAAATTAATTATTTCCCTAATTTGTTCATTTGCTTGAGATCAGGTATGAAAGTAGATTGAAAGAGAAATAACATTTAGTTATTGAAGCAATTGAGGTAACCACAAAGCCACTGTGTATAGTTGGCACATTAGGAAAGAACCTGCAAATGCAAATAATGTGTGATGGTTTTTTGATAAACCACATATTTTCTGAATAGCACGAAAAACAAACGACACAAGAGGAGGCAAATGACTTGCGGGAAAAGCTTGATGACACATGGCAAGAGGTTGAAAAATTACTTAAATCATCTACAAGATCAACAAAAGGTTTTTAAAATACTATTTCTTGTTTTTGTTTCGTGAAAAAGGGTTTTGATTTGTAATTAAACGTTATTTTTTTATTAAGATAAAGAATTTGCCAAGGATACTTATAAACCTGATGAATATGACGTCTTTGTAAGGCAGATGCAGTATGATAAAAAAGCAGCTCCGGCTCAGAGGTAAGTTTACGAAAAGCCTTTTCGGTTTGGTTAGAATCCACTTAGATATTTAGGTATTTTTGACATCGGAGTATTTTCTATTAACTTGAATATTAAAAAGGTTTCAATTGAAGAATGAAAATATATAATATATTGCTGATTAAATGCGTTTTGAGAATTATATTTAGTCATTTTTTGCATTGTGCTATACAGGCACAACATTTGTTTAGATCTCATTACTATTTTGTAATGGTCCCGTGTGTTACAATCACTGGCTTGATGATTGGTATGTCATGCTAAGTATTGGGAAAAAATGGGTCATCGACTCATTGCATCTCAAATTGCCTTGAGCTGGTTCGCAGGTTCGAATACTGTGGGAGATAATTATGTGCAAGAGGATTCCTAGTGTCCTTGTTGTCGCACGGTAGTTCATGGATCTGAAACAAATAACTGGTTAACTATTCCCATACCCGACATGGTCTGGTAACTGATCGAGAGACTGTTGGAGTAGCTCATCCAATCTTGGCAAAACACAGAGCTTGTCCAATTTTGTTGTCTCTTATGTTTAGGTTGAGATAAATTTCCCTAGTTTCATAAATCGAAAATCAGGTTTTGAAAATTAGGTAGAAACATAAAATCACATCAGATTTCAACTTAATTCAGTTTTTTTGCGAAAATTACATCTCTTGACTACGTCACAATTCCAGGGGTAAAACTGAGGCAGAGAAGGCAGCAGAAGAATCGGCTAGAATTCGTAAATTAGAAGACGATAGAATTGAACGAATGAAAGAAGACTATAATCATGTGACAAAAAAATCAGCACAAACTCATCGATCTGCTGATGATCTTAACTATGAGTATGATTTATTTGTTACCTCAGTGAATGAATGAATGCTCACTAGTTTAACCTACCGTGATTATTGATGTGTTGCCACATTTGTCTGAGCATTCGCTCGTTCTCTAAAACTTATATGCTCATAGTAGGATTGTTTTTTGTTCTAATTTGCTGAATTCCAAATTTATCGACTATTACCAAATTCATTGATTAGGAATGTCTGATATGACATCGTATGTTAGAGATCCCAAGTTAAAGCTTTGTTGAGTCTATTGATAAAATCAAAAATATGTCTCTTCTTGGCCACGGTTTACGAAAATTCGATTCGAAATTTCTTTTAAAAACCTGTATACTGTGTACTGTAGTTAAGTTTGACATTTATTCATTATTTTTGGAGTTGGGAATCAATTTTCAAACTCCCCAGAGGTATCAGTCAAAGCCTAATTAAAATTTTTTATTTATTATAGTTGGATTTTTAAACTGTCAAAAGTCAAAAACTAAGTATAATTGTGAATTTCTGTGGAAAATTAAGTTCACTGAGCATTCTCAATGGGCGATTATTAAAGGCTTATATGCAAAGTTTTAGTAGTCAAAATTTGGTTTTCTCAGAGTTAGGAGATGGAAATGGGAGTAGAATTTTCGCCAACTTAATTAAAGTCCAAACCAGATTAGTTTTTTTATTCGGCTTAGTTTAAATCTTTTCTGGCAACATAGAGCTGGTGTTGAAGGCTCATCTTTGTCAAATCAGCCCAATTTTGCGCCGTTTACCTAATGAATGCTTCAAATTTCTTTAGCTTTCTTCCTGAAAAGGTTTATGTTGAGCCAGTCAGTTATAAAGATGGTGTTATGGTTGTTGCTGATGACTCCAAACTAGAAGATGAAAATAATAATGACTGGCAACTTGACGTCAAAATTGACGATGAAATTGAAGCTAGTGAAAGTGAGGAAGATGAAGAAGGTGGTTTGTAATTTTATTTATCATAGTTTAGGCCCTTTTGGGTTAATGTAATTTTCTTTTAATGTTGATTTTATATAAGCTTGGCCTTGAGCATTTGCTATTAAAACTTATTGCTGTGTGTCCCTTTTTTAGCTCCCACATTATTATATCAGTTTTCTCATGAAATGTTTTTAAAAAAAAATTTCAAAAGTTTTTTTTTTAATTCAATAGATGAAGAACAGTTATCGGAAGATAACAGTGATGAGGATGAATTTTCCGATATTGTTACTGATGATGAAGATGTAGAATATACACAAACTCAACATACTGATGCTGAAATGATGGAAAATATGAAAAAGAAACAGTCAAAAATGAAGGAACAAAAAGAGACTGCTGAAATAAAAGGATCTTCAAAATGTTAGTAAGCGTTTCTGAATCAGATTTTCAACGATCATGATTGTATGTGAATTTAGAAGTAGTGAATGAAGTTTGACTTAATTTTGTTGAAATAAAAAAAATTCTGTAGAAATTAATTACTAGTTCATACTTTGTCAATGAAATTCACATTGAATGCAACAAAATTATGACTCATCAGAATTTATACAATGCCTAGCTATTCATGCCTTTTTGCTCCAAACAAGGCACTGTGTAAGCTTCCACCGATGTGTGAGGATCTACTATTTTTGGAAGGGAACATGCGTCACTCTTTTGCTGCTAGATGATGTTGTATTCTTTTTCACGATAGGCAAATCAGTTACCTTATCTTCTTTTTACTCCTGTAAATATTATTATATCACAGGTATATTCAGGAGTTGTTAAACAAACGACTGCTTAGACTCAAAATTTGTAAATTACTTTTGTAATTATTTTATTAGGGACAAGTATCTCATAGCTTTATGGTGTGTGATGATAATAACATTGTTGAGTTAATTAAAAGGAATTTGAGAATTGTACCTATTTAAAATAAGTTTTTTTTTCTTTTTTTTTTGGAGACAACAATTCGTTCGTTATGTGGCAAAAATGTTAGTAATTAATTTGCTCAATTCTGACTGAAGGAAGGGTTCAAAGCAAGTAATTATAATACTTTCCTTTTTCAGTTCCTAAATCATACTTTGAGTTTTGCGACATGGTAGACACAAAGTACAGTGGAAGTTGTCAGAAATGTCTCTCTGCTTTGAGAAAATTTTTTTCAACCGGTTTGGCAAAAGGAAACAAAGAAAAAATGGCAACATTGTTTGAATATGTTTGGCAGAAAATCTATGATGTTTGCATTGAGAAGGAATTGAAGATGGAGGCTGTTGATAATTTAGTGAGGTATGGGATCCTAGATGTTTCTAAATATAGTTTCATCTCTCTAATATCTAGAAAATATAAATTTCTGTTCATGATTTAGGTAAATCAGGCCGACTTAGTTGTTCTATGTAGCTAAATATCATTTATCCGAAGTCATGTCATGATCAAATTTTGATAGGCTCAGTCTTTCAATTTCTTGTGAGAAAAATTTTGATTCAAACCTCCAATGGGGAAATATTTTTGTTATCGATAAAGCATTTAACAGGTTGTAAAAAATTCCAATTCTGGCTTCAGTTTCGAACTTTTAAGAAAGTGAAATTTTGATAACGAACACTTTAGCATATACAAAAGCCTTAAAATGAAGTGTTAAGAACGCTTAGTAAAATTAATGCTTTTTGAGTTTGATAGGAACTTTTAACTTAAGTCATCACTATTAAAAATATGTAACTCAGGCTTTAGTGACTCGAGTGAAACCATGCTAGGCTTGAGAGTCTTGATTCCCAACTCAACAGCCCTGGTAGCAGATCTCAATTATGTGGAATACTGAAAATTCAATTTCAAAAGTTGTTTGACAGTTACTTTATTTTTACTTACAGGCACTTGTATGAACTTTGTCAATTGAATCCATTATCTTCTGCTAAATATATTGTGAATGAAATGAAAAATATTTACAAGATGTATTTATTGCGAAACGGAAAAATTAGAATACCAGATTTCGCGCATGTAAGTTTCTTGTAGCTGAATTCCTGATTTTTGTACAAGTTTACTAATATGAAAGCCTGAATGTTGAAAAAGTATCGATGGAAGAGTTGAAAGCAGCAACAGATGTGCTTGGAGATGTCAGTAAAAACCAGATGGACATGAGACTTGATAACTAACGACGATGTGGTGCACCGTGCTAAGCCTTAAGAATAAGCCCGCCACCGCACCTCTGATTACCTTGTGTGGATTCGCAGGTTCGGATCCCATGCGGGGATGGTTATGTGCGAGATGGTTGCTGGACTCCTCGCCGCCATAGGGTGGTTCACGTAACCGCTGGTACGGTACGGATTATCCATCATCAAGTCTATGGCTTCCGAAAACAAATAACAGGCAAACTAATCCCATATCCGACATGGACTGATAACCGAAAGAGAGGTCGTGGTTCATCGTATGATTAAGCCGTCTTATTGGTTTTCCTCCTCCCTCAGGATAAATATGTAAATCCTATCCTAACTTGGAATCTAACCTGCAATTTCTAACGTACAATCTTCTATTTCAGCTTATACAATTCAAGTTGATAAAGATATTATTTTCGACAAGTGATTACTTCCATTCAGTCTGTTCTCCTGCTATATTGTTTATGTGCCATATCTTGCATTCAACAAGACCAACAAATTTAAGGTGAGTCAACTGTAACTGTCATTTTCAAGTTGTGGGACGACAATGAATTTTTATTATGTTGCTTGTTAAAATCATTTTGTTCTAGTCTGAAAAATTGCAAATTGTCTCCATATCCGGACTCTAAGTTAGGTCCAAGCAGTCTAGTATCACTCCTCTAGTCCATCTAGCATTAACAAACTTAAATAACTGAAAAAATATTCTATTCTACTGTTTTTTTTTCACTTTAGAGACGTCTCTTCACTCCTTTTTGTCTGCACTTTGATGTTTGAATATGTTTGTTTTTCGAAGCGATTTATTCCTGAATGCATTAATATGCTATGTGGAATATTATGCATGGCTTTACCCAGGACTATTCAACAGAGTAAAGGTATTATTTTCGGAATTTATTGAGAAAATGTCATTAGGCAGTTAAAAAGAACCAAATAATTCTATTATTATTATCTTTAAATGCAGATTTTCCTGCTGAAACCAAATACATTTGAAATTGTTCTTTATTCGATATAGTTAATTTTTGCTTTTAGGCATAATTTGGTTATAACTTTTATTTGTAAATTTCTCATTTAAGACATTTGGAATCTGATGGCCAGACAATAAATAGACTTATGACACTTTAAATATTAGAGGATTATTCAAAACGATTGTTTTATCTCAACTTGTTTTCAAATACCCAACTCAAGTCATTGAATTAGAAATCATGGTCTGACCATATCTACATAAGATTGTAACTGTAACAACAATTTGATTTGCGAATTTTTTGGAAAAATCATTTACGATTCAATAGAATTTCAAATGCAGATTTCTACAATTTTTACAATATTTTTAAAACCTAAATTTGGTACTAAAATTAAAGTTGGAAATGTGAGACGTGGTTGGAGCTATGTCATGCACTCATAATATAGTTGAATTGAGTTTCATTTTTAACTCTATTTCGTTCTCAAGTCTTTGTAAGATTCTTTAAAATTGCTCAATAGGTCTTTGAAAAATGTCGATTGTACTTTTTGAATTTGGTAGTCATATTCCTGCACATGACATTTTTTTATTTTTTTTTTGCCAAATTCAATTCATTTTTTATTTTGTTTAGGTATTCCATCTGCTGCTTCTTTATATTTGAATACGAAGAATTGTCAATTACTTGTACTGGAAGGTCAATCATTGAACAACTCTGATGACAGACAAAAACCGGACTTAATCAAATGCCTCTCTATAAAAGATCCTTGTTTATTAAACACGGATGAGACCAGGTATGGTGCATCATATATTGAATGCTATTTTTGAATGTTCAGATTTATAACAAGTCTCAATGAAAAATGGTAAATCTGAATCCAAAACAGGACCACAAAGAGTCTTTGACACTTGAGTGAGGTGCCATTTTTTGCCAGTCAGAGTGTGCCATGTTCAAAGTAGAAATTTCAAATTTTTGTTGAGTGTCATGTTTACTAAGCATTTTATTCAAACATTCATGGAAAGCTTTCATAAGTCAATTTTTGTTTCAAGATTCGTTATTCTTGGAGTTGGAAAATCAAAATTTTCCTCAACCAGAAATCGAGAGCTTAAGATTTTCGGAGTTAAATAAATTTTTGCCGATTTTACAGCCCTGATAGTAGCCCTGACTTGAGCAGTAATTTGTAAAATGGGCAATTCTGATATCTGTATCGGTATAGCCAGCATAACTTTACAATTTATAACCATAATTTATTTCATTTTGCAGGTTACAGATGTTGAATGTGGCATTGAAACTTTCTTTAAAATTCGTAATGTTGAACAGTCAGATATCCTGCTTCAAAGAAATTCACCAACCTTTGAAAATCATCTGTTCTCGATGCATATCTGGTTATAGAGCAACTAATGAAGGAAAAGTTCATCCTTTAGCTGAATTGCTATATGAAGTTAAGGTTAGCGACTCAGATTTCAGCAAAAAATTTTGACTCGGATTTTGGATACAAAAAAATTTACTCTTCAATTATGGGTAGCCTTTTTTTGATAGTGACAAATTTGGTATTTGTAATCATTTTTAGTTTGGTTGGATATACCGGTTCATACTCTCCACATTTGAAATTATAAAATTTTGACTCATGACTCTGAATTCCAACTTGGAGAAATTTGTAAACACGCGGGCAATACTGCCGCCTCATTGACTTTAAGATCAATGTTGTACTTAATGAAGTGGCTTAACCATAATTTTAAAAAGGGCCATTACTGAATCGTGCTAGCGTTGGAAAAACGCTTGCTATTTGCAAGCTTGAAACATATGGGGGAATAATTATATACGAGAGGATTGTCGGACTCAATGCTGCCGTAAGGTGAATCACTAAACTGTTCTCAACCATCGAATCCACATCTGAAATGAATGGCAAACTGTTCTGGTCATTGTCATCTGCTTTCATCTCAAGATAAATATGGAAATCATATCCTAATTATATACAAGATTGGCTGATGTTTAGGCTTCTACTTTTTTGTCTAGGCTGAAGTTGAACGGATTGAGAAGAAATCTCCCGATCTGAAGCATCTCGTTCAATCTGAAAGTAATAAACCAAAAGCTTTACCTTTGTATGATCCAAAGTTTGAAGAAGTGTAAGTATTTTACATTATGTAAGTGCGATTATACAGGGAATAAGTAAGTCGGTAACAGATGAGTATAATAAATATGAGTTTGATTCGACTCCATAATCAGCATAACAATAAAATGATTGATAAAAACGGATTATGAAACAATATTAACAATTTGTGACATGTGATTGTTTACCATTGCATCAGTAGTTTACGAAGTGAATGTAATTAGATAATAATATATATTGTTGGCTTTCATCATTAGTGAGTAGTGTAGTAGTGTTTTTTCTTTGTGTAAATACTGTTTCAGTAATCTTGATGGATACTTGAACTTTTTATTTCTTTTTCTCTGCAGTGGTGAACCATTTCAAAAGGGCAGTCGGAAACAAACTAGTTCGACTAAGCGAGAGAAAGATAGACTTCAACATAGGTACAAGAGGGAACTGAAAGGTGCAGTCAGAGAAATAAAGAAGGATGCCAGATTTATTGCTAGAGAACAACTCAATGAACAAATTGAAAAGTATGTTATAAGTGTAACTCATATTTTTCCCACGGCTACATTATCATTTAATATTAGTCAATGCTTTTTATATGAAATCCCATTTTGTTTGAATACCCATGTTAATTTATGAACGTTTCAATGACATCATCCATAATATATTCAAACCGCCCTGCCCTGTTGGTGACATTTTATCACAAGTCAGCGTTGGGTAGAGGTGTTGGACAGCGTTGGGTAGAGGTGTTGGACTAGTGAATTTTGTATTTTTTTTCTCGCATAATATTAACAAATGTGGTTAAACCTGCTTTAATGAAATTTTAAAGCCCAAAATTTTTTCCATGTTCCAAGTGGAGTCATTCCGGGTGGTTAGTCATGTTGGAGTCAGTCATTTCGCTCACATGACTTCGCTCACAAGTCACTTTGAGTTGTTGAAAAACACAACTTGAGTCTGAGTGAAGTCAATTTCTCCTGAACACTGATAATCTTCTCAAAATAATGGAAAGGCGTCATTATTTTTACCTATTTCTAATTTGATTACAAAAATGCATCATCTGTTACTTGCCTAATTTTAGGGACAAAGAAAGAGCTGCAAAGGTGAAACGATTGTACGGATTCCTCTCTAATCAAGAAGGTGAAGTGAAGAAAATCAATCGAAAAAGATTCAAACTGGGAGTTGATTGAATCATTACTTATATTAAATATACATATGGCCAGTATTTTTGTGTAGTTTCATATTACTGATCAGATTATCGGAATAGTTTTCACTGTTCGATATTTCCTATTTACTGAGTTAGCTAATAATGATAAGTACTAAGAACAGACTTCGACTCGCCTTCCTTCCCAGAGACTTAAGTTGTGTCAGCACATATGAAACTCGAAACATGCCGCTGAGATTTAGTTTCCATATATGGGCTATTCCAAGTGACACTACAGGACAATTCCAGAAATTTTGCATGTTGTTAAATTCAATATATTTTCACATTTTCAGCTACATGTTTTGTTTCATTGTCCAATCAGTTGCTTTATTGAATATGTGAAAAATTGCACGAAAGTTTATCCAACCTTACTTAGTAGATAAAAAAAATATAGTAAAATATAGTGTGACACTACAGGACGGCAAATCCACCATGCACTAACAGTACGTTGTGTTGTGCTGTAAATTTTTGCGATGGTACAGTAGGAGCCCATAATATTTTCTGGTGCAGTAGCTGAACTACCCCCCTATGTGTTGCTCAAGTTACTCAATGTAACACTGTAAATCCATGCCAATAATGTGACACTACAGGACATTTTTCCACTTCGGAATAGCGGCCTCTATCATCTCTTAAAATTCTGGTAATAAATCGTTAAATGGGTGAAGAAATGTTCTACAGCACTGCAAACATTCGAACTTTATTAACTTAAATCCAGTGCGTCAATTCCATATGAAATAACTGTACCAAACAATCAAACACTTTGTGTCAGGAATAATCACAAAATATGTCAATATACCAAAATTTCTACATTTCAGGCCATTTTTTATAAACCATCAAAAACCTGGGTGAAATTTTAAATTGTTCGATGAAATGAATGCAGTCCAATAAAATTCCAATGTCTTTTGATATCAAAAATAAAAAAAAATTACCCTCACTACACTTTTTAAAAAATTGATTGGAATGGCCCATATACTGTAGTTTTAGTTGTAGACGCGACGCCATGCGCCCGCAAAGACAATAGACGCGAAACGTGGTGTTCGAAACCGCTTATCCAAAGATGTTGGAAAAACCACCGGTGTCTGAGTGAGATATATTTTGGGTTCATGAACTGATGCCGACACAATAAACTAGCGATTCGGTGAGTGCATAATTTACGTCACCAGACCACTAACTTCCATTACTTTGCTGCTTGTCAAAGTTGAGTCAGGTAAGATATAAAAACGACATGGTAAACTGTAAAATACGGGGAAGTACAGGTAAATTCGAATTTTGGCAGTCTGGAACTGAATTGCACTTTTACCCTTTTTATTATTTTATCCCTGCGCTGGTATTGAATTTGACCTACCCTCGCCGATAGCGGAGCTATCGAGCCGGAGTCTGCGTGTTTTTTTTCTCACCCGCGTTCGTCGGGATAAATTCCAGACTGTTTAAATGTCAACAATATTTTCGGCGAAAACTAAATAATATCAAGTTGACTGGCAGACAATCACGGCTTGTATTTGCAAATCTTTGGGTTCTCAGAGTTGGGATTCGGAATTTCCTTGGGAGCTTTAAATGGCTCGAAATCTAAGTAAATTACAAGTTTCCACAGTCCCGCGCATGAAAAAGCGATCGAGTAAGACCCTTTTCAGAGATGGGGGTGGCATTTGACGAGCCTGATATATTTTATGTTTCCTGGAATCAGCCGGAGGATGGCGTTATTTTGTGCTATTCTGATTACTTAAATTAAAATATCAAAAAAAAAAAAAAATTTCTGAGCTTAGTATATCTTGACATACCACCGCGGTTACATAATAACACGCGTCTTGTAGCTTTAACCAGAATCCTGCACTTTCAGTAGAATGTGATTGTCGGGTGTTTTCTGCGAAGGCGTCGAAAATGCGAGCGACAGTCATATCCCCTTCCCCGAACTTGTATGTAAACTAATCATCCATACCATCAATATTAACCGATTCTTCAAATTCATTACTGGAAATAATTCAGGAGTTGTGCTATTTTAAATAAAACTGACTAGACGAGAAAGTGCTATTTGATTTGTTCGACTCTCGCCTATCGTTACACATCTGGTTTGGGGTACTGATCACCATGACTAATGTTATGTTCAATTTGATTACAAAAATACAGTACTTTATATCTTTCCAATTTTTTTTTCTCTTTAACGTCACTCAGTCTGGGTCGTCGATCTTGTAAACTCTGTGCCCCAATACCGTACCTTGCCGCCTTCAGGTAGGCGATCTTCATGCCGATATATGCGAGTCTTGCTCGTGTTTTTCCTTGATATTAAGATGGTATTACCTTACTGTCTTGTATTAGAATACGTCCAAAATATGAGCAAAAGCTTGATTTTTCATAATTTAGTTTAATCTCCGATTTGAAGTATACTAAACAGTATTTAGTTTACTGTCTTTGCATATCATTTCATCAGATATTGATAAGATATATTTGTTGATAAACAACAGCATGCATGCTGCGAAGACCTAATATCGGTTAAATATTCTATTTCTAATCCGATTACGATACTTCACACCATGATGTGTGATCGTCCTCGTATTGCCATGAATCCCAAATTAGAAAAGCATATCAAGTTCTTATATATCTAATCTTTCAAACATGAAACTAGATTTGAATAAATAAGTTTGAACTCAAGTCTAAATTTTTCTTAGCTGTACGGGAATGACAACATCTTAAGAAAGGAGTTGTAGAAAAAAACAATTTTGTACTAGCGTGAAGCCATGTTTTGTACAATTTAACGAATCACGCTGGGGATAATGCACCTGATAAATTTATATAATGAGGATATCTCGTGAAATCACGCTTATGTAAATCGCCTGGTGCATTCCAGATGATTAATCTCTGATTACTTTATCGGTCTCTCGTGGATAAATATATACACACTGGGATGGCAACCAGCCCATAGTTGGGGTAAAACTTAGACAAATGTAACACAATGACAGTTGGATATTCATGTTAAATTCTGCATGCAGATTGGTGGCTTGTTTTGAAAAAATCTTATATGGATAGAAATTTAATGAGTTAAAAATACCTGTTATATACGAACGCACAAAATCGTCGCTATCAAGGCAGTGTTGATTGCCTATATACCCAAAATATTTAATCATGTACGATTCAATTTTTTTTTTACTTTTTGTCACTTCAACTTTTTAAATAAACTGCAATTCAAAATACGTAAGAAGGTAAGTCAAGTTCGAGAATAAATCTTGTTTTCCTCATTAAAATCCATGCAATACAAATTTACACCGCAAGAAGTCGACTAATTGTATTCTTAAGCATCGTCGAATGTTTTCTGGATTGAATTAATTTGTTGGTGAATTGGGAGTTCAAGTCGTAAATGAGGCTAAACGCGGGGTTTCATTTTTCTGTGGATTTCGCTAAGCCAAAGAGCATAAAGACCATGAATGGTTTTAACAAAAAAAAATCCGAACTGCAAATTTAGCACCATTGCTATATTGCTAATGTGTCATTCAAACCAGTCTATTTATTTGTATCAGAATGTAGTTTCCTGTAATACGCCTGTGCGCTGACTGGCAAGTTCCACGAATTCAGGATATTTCACGCGAACTACGTCACAATTCATACGAACGACAAATATTGCATCCATATAATGAGCTAATGTAGCTTTGAATGTGCCGTGTTTCTGATTTGATATGGAAGCAAAAAAATAATTGGAACCACAACATTGTACGCTTGAATTATTATATATCATGATTGCTTATGGGAAACTGCTACATGAAACTGTCCAGTTTCTATTAATCTTTGGTATGCTTGATATTCCGTTAAATATTTTATAAAGGTTATATAGTTCCATCATATCTTTGTAGCCATATCTTATGTTCTGCTTGATTCTATATGTCTGCTTGATTCTATGTCGAATATCGACATTCAAACGAACCACCTACCGTCACAGCTGCGAAATATTTACACTTGTGCCAATATGAAATATCCCGCAAAACTTGTCTCAAGTTTGATTTGTTCAGGATATTAAAAAGTTTTGGAGTGGATTAACTATTTCATGACTAATTCATACAGCCGGAAGGTCCAGTCCCGTTGCAGATGGTTGTAAGTGGACAATCTAATTGGAAAGTTATCTGTCGTCTACTAAATCCTCTTGGTGAGATTAAAGTCATTAACTTGGATAAACAAAAGCATTAACGTGAATGTGAATTGGCGACAAAACACTTGACAAGTAAATTACAACTGATTACTCGATTTGTTGGGGAATTTGTAATAAGTCAAACATTGAAAATTTTTCATCGAATTGCATAAAAATCATTGACAATCAGCACGCGGACAATAAAGCACCGAGGTCAAATACCCCAATACCCTTCGTAATAAATGTAATTTAACAAAACATTACCTGTTAATTAACAACATTACCCAAATTTTCGAGGCATGTTCAAGATTTAAAGACAACTGAAACACAGCTTTTGTTTCTCGCGAACGACGTGCCGATTATCGTTTGATCTGGCATATGCTTTCCAGAAAGGTGAAAATTGTAATCCGTATGTTTGATGTGCATATGTTATCTCTAAAATCGGTGGTTCTTTTTCCAGCAATATGGGCGCAAATTACTCAATTGTTTTAACGTCTGCACTAATTAATTAAGCTTTTTGTAAATAGTTTTGGTGACGCGGCATTAACGATTCCGTGGTCTGACTGACCCACGATAGTCTTGTTACGCCACTGGACTGACCATCTATTTTAATTAATCTTCAATGTTTGATTTTGATCGGTGTATTGCAGATGTTTTGGATGTATATTTTAGGTATAATTTGATCACACAAACCTCATAGGCATCACATCTAAATAACCACTTTCGGGATTTCCTTCTATTTGCAATAGAAATATTGTCATTTCTATCTCTACCTCTAAATTGGTATACAGTATGTACCATTCATATTTGTTGGTTTAAAAAACAGGTTTGGGTGTGCTGCTGTGGAAATTCTGTTTTTTTTCCAGTCCGCTGTCATTTCATATATATATATAATATCAGCGGCCCATTCGGAAGGGGCATTACACAGGAATTTTGTTGTGTTTGCATAAAATTTCATTATGTTAATTTCTGGGTATGAAATGATCTATGAAAGATAATTACAAATTTGTGAGCGAGAAATCAAGAAATCTTTGACAGGTGCATTATCTCAGGTGACTCGCCATGTATATTCTGAAATCCAACCAAATTGAGTAGAATTCTCGTTATCCGTGTCTCGATATTTATCATCCCACGCGAATCCCTATGAGATTCATTGCGTGATATTTATGTCCAATGTGAAAATAC